ATGTTGTGTAATGTACATAATTACTTTATTTATTTATAATATAAATTGATGAAAATTAATTATAAATTGATAAAACTTATGTCGCAATAATGTAGTCGACACTGGTTTTGAAGGCCGTTTATTATTCAACAAACAAAAGGTTTTTTTAAAAACAAACAAACTGAAAAGACTAACACAGTTTATAATAGTTGTTTAGATCTATATAATAGTATGTGTAACCCTATCTTTATCGGCGGCCATACAGTCTTCTGTTTTTATTATTAAGCAGTATATCTTTGTACAGCGCACCGCTGGCGTATGTAAAATAAACGCATATCAATTTTCATACATAACGTCTTATTTTCAGTTCGTGTTGAGACACCATACAGACCACACGTATAGTCTACACGTATTTTAATCGTATACCGCTTCGCTTTTATCTGCTTCCGATAGCAAAGTCATTAGTGCTCGCCGCGGGACCTCTAACTATCGGTAATGTATAAACATATTTACATGCCAAGTCCACTTATAAAGACTATTTTAAATTTCCCAATCGACTCCGTTACCTTATCTACGTCATTATGAATTATCGTAAAAGTAATTCTACTAGTCCAAAGCCCACAACCAGTATATCAACAAAAATAAATAAGCCACAAACTTTAAAAATTCCAACATCATTATCAAATCAAACGGGCGACTACTCCTCATTAGACCTATCAGACAATGAACAAGACTGGCAAACAGTCTTATCAGAATCAACCAAACGCGCTAGATCTCCAGGTCATACCTCCTCTCCACTTACGAAAAAAGACACGAGCATTTTCATATCCGCAAATCGTTTCTCTCCTTTAGCCACCCCTGACGATGACTCACAAATGGTCACGGAAGTCACTGAACAACAACAGACACCTATTGAAATCAATCCTCCAAACCCGCCGCCTATATTCATCGAATCAGAGCTAAATTTCAATAATTTTATTATTAAAATTAACGAACTAACTAAGTCCTCTCGTTTTGAGTGTAAAGCTTCTACCAAAGGCCTGAAATTACAAACGTTCAACTCAGATTCATACAGAGCCATTATAAAATACCTTAAGGAAAACGATGTTCCACACCACTCCTTCCAGAATAAAGAAGATAAACCGTTCAGAGTTGTTATTAAAAATCTCCACCCAACAACAGATATTACATTCATAAAAACCGAACTTTCAGCACTAGGTTTCCTAGCTAGAAATATAAATAATGTTCGCCACAGACTATCCAAATTGCCTCTCCCAATATTTTTTATTGATTTAGAGCCTGACTCAGCCAACTCTGAAATCTTTAAATTAACCTCGCTCTGCTACACTAAAATTAAAGTTGAAGCACCGTACGCCAAGAAAGACATTCCACAATGCCTCCGCTGCCAATCTTATGGTCATACACGTACATATTGTAGCCACCGTCCCAGATGTGTTCGTTGCGGTGAACTACACGACTCTTCTTTATGTCTAAAAAATCGAAACGAACCTGCCAAATGTGCCTTATGCGGTGGCCCGCACCCAGCAAATTATAAAGGTTGTTCTGTCCACAAAAGCATCATCAAAACACGAAAGCTCCAACCTTCTAATCCCTGGCGTAAAAATACTTTAAATTTTCAAGAACCACTTACTTCTTCCAATCTTCAAAACCCAAGCCAGACTGGTGATGGTGCGCGGATGCAGATCGGTTCGTCGAGTCCGATCGTGCGGCACTTGTTGGACTTTGCACCGTGTCGTATGGCACGTATGGTATGCAGTCAAATACTCAGCGAGTGGTGGAAATTTCGGGTCAATCGAACAATCGGGATTGTTCAAATGACCCGTTTATATAACTCGTTCAATCGTTAATTTCGTTCATCTCTTACGATCTGTCGCGGTTCTTATTAATTATTCCTCATTATGGTTTTCCCGAACCAAAAAAAAATTCGCATTTTACCAAACTTGGAAACTTCGCCGCAACCGATTCACCGCCAGACTCTTGATTTATAAACTTATTATTAACCCCTATTCGAAAAATTACAATTATTTTAGCCTAATGCTTCCTTGCACAAGTCCTTAAAATCCAGTATAATGATAAAAAATTAATTATTCATATATATTATGCCATATTATTTAAATTTTTATTTTTATTTTATTTTAATTATTTAACACCCAACGGCAGTTTACAGGAATAATATTATAATAACATAAATATATAACATAATATAACAAAAAGAAGAGAAANTAAAAATGTTTCGGAAATACTGCGTCCTTTAAAAACATATTGGATAAAAGGTTAAACAATATATTACAAGTTAAAAAATTTGATACACAATTAAGGAAATGAGGATTAAATTAATAGGAATGCTTTTAGAATAATAACTGCAAGCTGTGCTGGGTTTTTATTATGATTATAAAATATTTATACTCTATGCAGGGCCTAAAATGAGGGTGGGTTTACAAGAAAACTGAGTCCCCTTATGACAATTAGAAAAAAACTCCATTTGAAATTTGTTTAAAAAGTAAGTTTTAATTTTATAAATTCACGTTATGTTAAAAATGTTAAGGGATCACAATGTTCCTACTTTTTTTGCCATCTCAAATATACTTGAAGTAATTATAAATTCATAAAGTATACTTTATTAACTTTTTTCAGAACTAGATCTACATTTTGGAGATCAGATTGCAAACAATACAATTCTAATTCAGAATAAAATACGGTAGCACAGTGGGGTCGCGGCATAGTGGAGACATTGCATAGTAGAGTCCAGTATAGATTTAATCTGACAGTGATTAAAATCACTATCATAAGAAACGCTTCGATGCAAATCTGTAGATAGTGTTTAATTTTAAAAAAATTTATGGATAATTGCAAAAGCAACATCAACTTCTATTAAAATAAAATACAAAACCCATAATTATCATACAAAAATAGTATATTTTTCAATATGGTAGCCATTTGCGTATAGAAGATAGATCGTCGGGACAAATTTTTTTTTTTCATTTTGTAGTACATAAAATAAGCTTTAATTTTATATATGTTTAAAGGACGCAGTATTTCCGGAACATTTTCAAAAATTAAGTTGAAAAAGTTATTTTTTGTAAAAAAGTTACTATTTTAAATCCTCCCAGTGAGCAGAATAAGTGTTAGATTTTCAAAAAAAATTATATCAAATGAAAGGGAAATATCTAAGGTTTCAATACAAAAAAATATTATTTTTATTTGTTCATTTTTGAAAAAGTTATGGCAGTTTTAAGTACAAAAAACATCCCGATAAAATGTAATTTTTATCGCAAACATTACATTTTTTTTTAAATTTTCGACAGCCATTTGCACATAGAAGATAAGATGTCGGGACCAATTTTTTTTTTTGATTTGATAGTACATAAAATAAACTTTAATTTGATATATGTTTAAAGAACGCAGTATTTCCGGAACATTTTCAAAAGTTCAGTTGAAAAAGATCTATGTTTTTTACAATATTTTAAGTTTTGAACGCCCCCTATATAAGGAGAAATTGTCCAATTTTAATAAAAAGTATGTCAAATGAAAGATGTACTTATAATGTATTTAGAAAAAAAAAAATTTTTCCTGATATATACATTTTGCATAAAGTTATAGCATTTTTAAGTTGAAAATTTAAAATCGAAAATCGAAAATATTAACACAAAAATAGTGTTTTTTTAACTACGGCAGCCGTTTAAATGTAGAAAAAAAAGTGTCGGGACAAATTTTTTTTTTTTCATATTATAGTACATAAAATAAGCTTTAATTTGATATATGTTTGAAGGATGCATTATTTCAGGAACATTTTCAAAAATTAAGTTGAAAAA